GTTAAATAAATTTGTCAACTAATCTTTTGGACAGCTTCACCTGCTACGTCGTTACAAGCACTTTAAACGATCAATCTAACGCATTAAAGTATGCAAGTAAAAAACGGGCGGGAGCTGTGCAAACGACTTTGCAAGTCTGAACTGCCACGTGGAGGGAACATTGCCTCGTCTCAACGTCAGCAGACAGTGTGGACACTTCTACGTGGTCTCTGCTTTTAAAATTTTCGTTCTAGACGTCGAATCATCGGTTTGAGACGTACTTTTCCTCGAACCTCACTCCTATTCCTCCCATTGGTGCGGCTTACGGTTTTCAGATCCTTTCAGTGCCTCTTTGGTTATTAATTCATTGCTTCTCGATTATCCCATTAAGGCGTTTTGAATTGACAGTCCTAAAGAAAGAGCAGCATGGATTTCCGTTTCTTCCAGTTGTTCCACATTTTCATGGAAGACATATGTGCTGTGTGTATTTGTATGAAAGTATTTCATGGTGGAGGGACTATTGCCTTCGCCCTGCCATTATTTCAAACGAGGCTAGTCGCAAGGGATCCTACAGACTGAGGAGAATGGTTGTATTTTTCTTCATGACGCTTTCAATCATCGCATATTCTGATGTTTGCAGAATATGAACAGCTTTCAGGCTTAGGGTCTCGTCTATTGTTTTATAGGTTAAGTCTGGGAGCCAACAATGACTGAACATCTCCCGCTCTACGGCAAGGGAAGTTTTCTAGCCAAATCATAGAAATACTTACTGTGTGAGAATTATGAAAAGCGCTGCAATGGAATTACCTTGGCGATGTACTTCTCGATTTCAATAATGGAAAGAAAGTCTTCCGTTTTTGGGGGACGGGGTGGTCAAGCAACAAAAAGTAATGGATCGATTAATTTGCTGACAGGAAATTATGCGCCATAATTATGTGCCATTATAGTGCCATAGTTATGAAATGCTAATGTTATTAATCGCACGTCAATGGAACGTGGCAATATGCAATATGTCGTAATATTCGTCAACGACGATCAGCTTACAGAAAACTAAATATCGATCTAAGTATTGGTGCAAAGTAGGAAATTTCTATTTAAAGACAACGCTCTTTAAAAGCCATTCAATTTTCTGTTCTCTGCCGCTGCCGGTGGTGGCGTTGCTCGAATTATGCGTCCATCGATCTGGAGAAGTTATTCAGAAAAGCGCAGAACCTCTAACACTGGCACACAAGAGTAAAGAAGCTTTTTCAGGAAAAATTATCAGAAACAGTTGAGTCTAGTTGCGGCAGAGAACTGCAACGTTGAGGCAGTTTTGTCGTGTATATCGAGGAAAGCTAAATGAAATCGCCAGACTGGACACAACTCTTCATTTAAGCCTCGTCATTATGAGACTTTCTCGATCCATTGCCGAATGAGAGCCTCCAAAATTTCGCCACAAAATTCTGTCGTTTGTGATTCGAATCTTAGTTGCGGCAGCAAATTTCTTGACCTCTGTCTGTCATCGATGTGGAGGCCTTCCTACGGCTTGTATACAGCCTTGTGGAGCCAATTCA